GTAAAAATTGAAATGTTTCACGAAAAAATTACATAGCTACAGCAGTAGACATGTCGATCCCGTGAAATTACGGATGATTGGTTTGCGAGTAACAAAATTTTCCAAGTTTCTAAAATAAATTAATAAACCAACAATTGATAGATTATTTATCAATTTTTAAAACGATAAACAAAACAAGATCATTTTTCCAAAGATTCATAATAAAGTCAATTAGATTATAAAAAATTTAAAGCATTTAAATCATTGAAAGAAAAATGAAAATTATTAGATAATGAAAAACTAATATAACTAAATATTACAACAAATAATTTTAATTTCCGCGTGTATTATTATTCATTTATTCATTTATTTTAGTATTTTAGATTTAAATTAATTTATTATTCCTAATTAACTATAATTCACATCTTTTTCGCCAACCTTCATCTCGTTTCTCCATTTCTTGCCTTTAAAATAAACCACTATTATAAATATTATAGAGAAAGCATTCATGGAAGAAACTAGAGTGTAAGTCCATCCTACACCAATTGTTTCATCTATTTTTACAGATAATGCTACCATTATTCCAGCATAAACATATCTTAAACAACTACACGTTGCTATAGCTGATGAACTATATTTTGGATTTACATCTACTAAATATGTGGATGTTGGATTTTGTGCCATCAAAGTTGTAAATCCTCCTATATAAAAAAAAATAAAAATTTATTATAATTTTCAAAATTTCAAAATTTCAGAAAAGGAAAAAGAACATACCAATAAACAGACTAATAATAGGTAATGAGATATGAGCATTGTAATTTAAAAGCCAACCATAAGAAATGTAAGCAATAGGTATAATAAATGCACCTATCCAAGTGCTTTGTAATCTTGTTTCAGGCTCGTCAACATCATTGTCAACATCATCCTCAACATCATTATCAACAGCAACACCATCAACAACATGCTTTCTTTTCTTTTCTCCTCTACGTAATATAAAATCAGAATATCTACCACTAAATAGACTTCCTAACAAGTAACCAATTGTTGGTGACAGGTATATTAAGCCAATATCAAATGAATTTATATGATCATATTTTTCAACAAAATTTCTTGATAACATGATATCTTGTACATAAGATACAGCTGTCAGAGTAACTAAATACAAAACTATTAATGTTACATGTGGTAGACGCAATAATATTAAAGGTTTAAATGGATTGAAAATTTTCTTGTGAGGTGTTGTTGTTATTTTTGTTGTAGGTGGTAATGTGGAAGAAGATTTTTCTACTGTTGCTGCTGCTGCTGATAATGATGGTAATGGTGATGATGATGATGGTAATGGTGATGATAATGACGGTGACGATGGTGGTGGTAATGATGATGATGGAATTGATGGAAAAGTTTCTTCTAAACAGAAGAATACTAGAATCAATAAGAAACTACTAAATATTGAAGTAAACCAAAATATCCAATGCCAACCAAGATATTCAGTCACAAAACCTCCCACTACTGGACCAGTTATTTGCCCAACTATATAACCTGAATAAAAAAATCCATACCCAGTTCCTCTTTCTGAAAAAAAAAATAAAAATAAAAATAAAAAGCTGGAAATCAATGACTTTGATAAATATAAAAAATCAATTAGTGTTATTATTGTTATTATTAAATAAAATAATAATGACCAGTTGGAATAAAAATATCACTGATGATGCCAGCTCCAACACATTGATCAGCTGAAGTACCCAAAGCTTGAAATACTCGCATTAAACATAATAACCAAATGCTATTGGAAACAGCAGAGATTATGCTTGCAATTAAATATACTAAAAAAGAACCCAAAAACATCTTACGCCTAGTCTTAAATATATCTGAATATGATGCCCATCCAAGTTGCTAATATGTGTATATGATTATAAATATTATTATTATATTTGTAATAGAACAACAACATGAATAAGAATATTTACCCCAATTCCAAAGAACATAAGATATATTGCAACTAGATTAAATTATATTTATTAGTATAAAAAATAATAATGATGATAATAATAGTAATAAAGAAAGATTCCACAAACTTAGAAAATTTGTAAGAAATTCAGTGGTTTCTAAATCATTTTGGATGCTTATTAAGGCAGGATACAATATTCTATAAAATATCAACCAATCAATTAATCAATTATTAATGATAATAGAAGCAGCGATAGTATATAATACTTACGATCCACCCATGCCAATTAATATACTTGCAAATGCAATAATTAATAAAACATGAAGTTTCTTTTTTTTTGGCCAATTTTTTGGATCATTAATAATAATTGGTAGTGATGACGAAGGTGATTTATTTATTGAATTAGGTATAATAATATTTACAGATTCTTTAGATAATACTTCATCTTTACAATTACTGTTATTATTATTATTATTATTATTATTATTATTATTATTATTATTATTATTATTATTATTACTACTGCTACTAATGCTGTTGTCGTTGTTGTTAATATTTGTAGATTCCATAATTTATTTTTTATAGAAAAGGAAAAAAATAAATACTGATTATGTGTTGTAATAAATATCTCAATTAAAATCTTAGTTGTTTTATACTTACAGTTTTTTAATCTCAAATTTTATAATCAAAATACATTACATGCTAATCTAGTTTTAGGTAAAAAACGCATTGTGATAATTGTGATAATTCAAAATAAATTGTGACAACTAAAAAATTAGGTTAATATTAATATATTTTATGATATCATCTATGGCGAGAAATTTAAAAATAATTTACAATTATGATGTAATTGGACAGTTTATTACTGATTATGTGAATTTGGAGACGTGCCATTTATAGTAACCCTGATTTTTTTCGCGCATAGTATAGTGTGCATAGTTTATATAATAATTTAATCAATTATACTTTATTATTAAGTAGTAGAGAGCCATTTTTCTTTGAGGTAATTTGGATGATGGACATAACTTTTAAAAAGTTGTATAATTGGTCCAATTTTAGTAAGTGAAATAGGAGATCCGCAAAGAAATATAGCTTGAATGTTAAAGCCCTTCCCGTTCAGTGGTAATTAGTTACTCTTCCTAAGAAATTATTGATATTGCTATTTGGGATCAGTATTCAAAACTTTGACCAAAATACTCTTGTAAAATAATAATACGGTGCAGATCATATATAATCATTAATTGCCTATAGTAACAATTGGTCAACTTCAAAATACTAAAACAAAAAAAAATTATATCATTTTAAAAAATTTAACCGATAAGT